CCCCCAAAACCCCAAAACCCCAAAACCCCTTATAATTTTTATTATATTGATATTTTATTTCACTTTCCAATGAAGCACAATGGTAGCCCCGTTTTGGGTACTCACCAGGTACTGTTATCTCTACTGGATCATGCTGGCTGCATAGCTTTCCACTATTTAGCCCATCTAGGGTCGAATCTGACAAATAAATATAGTCAAAGAAACTGCCTAATTTGAGAAGAAGAGTTTTTCTAGATGACTCAAAGTCTATCTCTTATAAATCCTTCAGGTAAATTTTTAAGAAAAACTGAATATTTTCTGAATTTGGGAAAATTTTCTAAATTTCTGAAGTATTTCAATATTTCCTTTACAATTAAGTTTCAAGAAATAGTTAGTTTTGTTATCAAGAATTTACACCATGATGTGTAGTTTTTGAGAAATTTACTGCTGGAAGGACAATTTAAGCTGATCTGGTGTATTTATAGTAGTACAAGAAGGCTAGGGACAAAGAGTAAGGATTTAGAAGGAGTTTTAGGGAAAGGAATGGAAATTAGAGAGAAATAAGATTCGAGCAAAGGTAAGTGAGGGTGTGTTTTGAAAAATTAAGATTTTGAGGGTTTGGAGTAATAATAAGGTGAAAATAATGTAAAATTTGTGTTTGGAATTGGGATTTGATCTTAGAGTAAAACTTTGGTGAAGGTTTGTAATATTTTTATAAACTAAAAATTACATTTTCAAGCATTTCCACTAGAGCTTAAGACCCAAAATTATTGATCTTTGCTAGTCAACACTATCACTATCAAATCTCTAGATTGACCAACTTAAAGTTAAGAGTCTGCTTGATCACAAAATTATCAAGGTCGTTGAAGACATTCCAAATGACTCTTTGAAACAAGGTACGATCTTATTCCTAAATCCCAAGCTTCTACTATACCATTACTCTTAGGGCTATTTATCAAAGCACATTTAGCACGCTTACTAGCTTCACTGCTCCTTAGAGGATTTAGCTATACAGAAATATCTGATTCACAGAGAAGTATATGGAAGTGCTTACCTCATTTTAAATGCAACAAAGCTCTTCTGCTTAAATACTTTTGAAATAGAAAGTAAAAACTTGGTCTGATAGTGGGCAATTGCTAGCTAAATTTACTTCCCATTCATGGTCTTTAGTTTTCTAATTCATCTAACTTTGTCATTAAAAAGATTTCTTTACTTCTTAAGATAGATAGCCTGATAATAGTATAGAAACTTAGTTATGAGGATTTTTAGTCGTGACATATCACAATTTTATTCCAAAATAATATGGTTGGCGTTCTGATATTTTTGAATACTTATTAGACATCAAAAAGAATATTCCTAGAGGCAATACTCCCTGAGGAGGCTCTAATGGCCTTGAAAAGACACCGAAGGTCAATATAAACAATGGATATCCACAGGAGAATTGTACTTTTGAGAGGTAAATTTTTATCTAAAGTTCGATGAATTCACGTTCAAACTTTAGCTCTCCCATTGATGTGTTCAAAGACAAAGAGAACCGCAAGAAATGGAATGATCTGAAAAAGGTCATCATTAGGCGGAAAAAGGAAAGCTTCATGGGCCATAGGCACAAGTATGAACATAATGGGACTTACAGCTTAATTTGGTGTTTAGGAAAAATAAGTCTAACCAGAAATCGCCTTTGAGGGTTAGCAAGTTTGCCAAGCATACTTCTTTAAAATCACAAAACTTAGAATCAGCAATGAGGAACCAGAAGAAGTCCAAAATTTTAGGCATGTACGGTTATGATTTTGACTTTAGTGGACATAAGAAAGGGAATAGAACATGAGCGAACACTATAAAGGAGGATGATGCTTCATCTGGAGAGACTTCAGTGAAGCTTGATCCAAAGTTGATAGAAAAGCCTGAAACTAATGATTCTCTAAGTAGATCTTCTGTCAAACCTTCGCAAAGACTTATTATACCACTTCAGAATCGAAATTCTATGTCTAATTCTTGAATGAAATCTAACGATAACTTATCAACTTCCTCTGTAAAGCTTAATAAAAATAATAGAAGATCAATGTGAGTGCCACTTTTGTTCATCTCTAGGTATCAGAATAAGAAATTGAGCAATTCTCTTGGCATTTCTTGTATGTCCTTTTACTTCATCTTCATAGTATCGAAATCGACAACCAAATTCTTAAAGAATTTGAAGCTCAATCAGTTGAAAAAGCCACCACTACCAAAGAAAAATCTTCCTTCAACAAAATTTATGAAGGTGAATATTATCATAAGAATACTCTTAGTCTTATTGATTCTTTAACCATGAAGATTTTCTCAAGCTGTGCAATAAGCAGGTTATTATAGAGACAAAGCACTTTACAATCTTCTCTCTGTGGATCATTTATGAATTTACATACATTGGCTATGACCTTTGAAGAATATTAACCCATGGTTCCTAACCTAGACAACTGTGAGGAAATATTGGCCATTCTTCACTTGAGTTTGGACTCTTATTGGCTTAGCTCCCTTCAGTTATCAGACCTATAGTCTAGATAAAATAATATTAGCTAATTATTCTTCTGTCTGAATGTAAAACTGGATTTTGTAGCTCAACTTGGTATAGGTGGACAACGAGCTGCAATATATTTGTAGACTAGAGAATAACCTAAGTCTGAGAGATATTAGAAAAAGAGTTGATTTCTTATCAGATCCAAAGCTCAGGTGAAATTCACATAGCTTTTTGGAAGGAATGAGAGTGCCAAAATTGGGAATTAGAGATGTAGGCTGTGGGAAGTGAGTTTTAGGTGTATGAGAAGGTTGTTTATGATATTGTGAGGCGGGATAAAGAAGTAAGTGGCTTGATGTTGAATATTATGGTCGAGGGTTTTTGGAAAATCGGATTTTGACAAGTTTGAGTTGAATTTTGAAAAAAAATTCTAGTGAAGAGATGGGACTTTCGATTTTTCAAGAGGAATTGAAGGAAAGAATGAAATAGAAAAACTTAAAGAAAAATAATGAGAATAAAATAAAAAATTTGAGGTTTGGAGAAAGGTACTTCTAGTTCTGATCCGATTAGAAAATTCCAGCATTGGGCTAGCTTCCAAGCCATTCATGATTTTACTCTAAAATAAGCAAAAATCAAAGCCGAAAGATGAAATAAAGTCTGAGTCAATTCGAGAGCTCATTAAATCTATCAAGATAAACACCGAAATACAGGATTACCGTATCACTAAAGTCTTGGATATTATCCGTAAGGCCTCTTACTATATTTTCTAGAGTTTTTGAAATAACATTCAGACAAAAATTGGTGAATACCAGTTACGAATTCAAGGAATTTCAAAGATTCCTTCTACTTATGATGAGGAAATTGTCATCTTTGATGGCACGAAGGCCAATCCTCTTATTGATTATGAAAGACTCTCTGGGCCAACTGTTAATCACAAAGCAACACAGCTTAACAAGCTAAACATCCTGAAAGTAGTCATTTCCGCATCATTTCTAGAAATAAGAGTGAAGCAGCTGAAGAATTCAAGGAAGTGTTTAAGAACATTTTCGTTAAAGCAGAGCAAAAATAGAGCTACTTGTAATAACCATGACGAAGAGGAAATCTATGAGATTTACTTTAGTGTCAGTAGAAGGGTATACCAACAAGTTTGTAATCATCATGAAGAGTTCACAGAGCAAATCGAAACTTTACTAGAACTGATGGGCTTAGTAATGAGCTTCTTTAACACATAGGGAGAGAAAAATGAACCTGAAGTTGTTCCTAGTGAGAAGAAAATGCGCAGACAAGGGCTAAGAGTCCCTAGTAATCAGATATAAATATATTTAGATAATATTGCAGACACACAGAAATTGCTAGATCAAGAAGGGATTTCAGAATTGCAACAATCAATCAAACGACCATCATTAGACTTAGTCAGCGAGATGGAAGATCTTGATGAAGAAAAATAGCCAATTGCAACGATTTAACATACTTCGGCTATTAGCCAAATCTTTTGACATAACTGAAACATCCCCTAAAAAGGAGATCCCTAAAATGTAAGCACTTATGCTTCATTTTTATAGGCCAATACAGAAGGTAGATTTTCACTCCAATGAAGTACCAATGCCGATCTCAATGAAGCCGGGAGTCACGATAGAGAATATAAAAATGGCTAAAAAAAGAATCAGATTGATATCTTAAAATTTCAATAATTAATTGAAAATTAGGGGTTTTGGGGTTTTGGGGTTTTGGGGTTTTGGGG